TAAAAGCCCCAACGAACAACCTCGTGATTACTGCTACAATTAATAATTGTCTCAGTAAACCCATCAAACCACTACATAACGAACAGTTCTTTCCGGACCCTATGCGGATGACACGATCCGAAGAAGTGGGAAACACTAGGAAAAGGTCATGCAGGGATACGGGGCTGAAAACAGGGGGGAGTGTCCAAAGTGCGCTGGTGCACGGGGAAGGTGTGGCCGAGGCAAACAATCCAGAAGTAATCCATAGAGGGAATCCAAAAACACAAAATAATTCCATAGCCAGGTGATCCATCCAAACTAGGAATTAAAACCATGAACCGGGTCGGAACCGGAGGACAAGGAAGGGAAACAGAGGTTAAAACCTTAACAGGACCAGACGCTTCCAGGTCCCTGACTCGCACGGTGCGGAAACCAGATGCAGAGCCAGGATGAGCGTCAGCGCCTGGCTTTTAAGGTGGGCTGGGAAAAGGGATCAGGTGCACAGAATTAAGTCTAAAGTGAAAGGGCTGGAGCACCCTTAAGGAGGGGGGACTATAATCGTGACAATAATCAGTCTTCTGATCATTTAATTACCTGAGCTTTTACTGCCATTAGCAATGTGATTGTTTTCACTAATTAGCTGTCCAAGACCTTAAGAAGTACAAGACCAGCCTGTAAATGCCTAACTGTGCAAATCATGGAGTTGAAACCAAACTCAGAAGACGCTAGACCCTCTAGGAGCTGAGGGTGAGACTCCTGCCTCCTGAGACAGTATGGGAAATCATACGTTGTGTCCGGCATCCTCCAGGAGTTTTGCAGCGATTAGTCCGCTGATCCCTGCTCCAACAATCACAAAGTTCTTCGGAGGGCCGGTCCTGATGAGCCCTTGCTTCACGTCTTCCAGCAGGTGCTCATAATCATTATCAAGGAAGCACTGCTCAATGACCCTGCTACCTGCTTGCACATGCGCTGCACAAGAGCACCACAAAGCAGCCCAGCAAGAGCAGTCCTTGCGCAAAGGACACAAAAGCATTAACATGTGCCATACAGGACAAAGAAGTTATAAAAAACTATACAGAGGTTCAAATCAATAAACCAGATAGTGACTACACTTGTTCTGTGAGTTTTGCAGACATACAGGGATACTAACATTTTAATCCACAAGGCCCAGTGACTCAGATTCTTAAGTCCTAGAACAGTTCAGGCTGGAGGACCTTTTTATATTTTCTTAAAAGCTAAATGCATGTTAATGAAACAAATTTCCTATGTGAGCTTTTGTTTGAATGTTTATTTTCAGCGATGAGTATAGATCAGATCAATGAAAACACAGCCTTTGTCCTGTGAGCCTTGCAACTCTTGGGCTCATCGAGTCATTAATCTTTTCTTGTCTCTCTTCATCCCACTGACTGATGCTCCCTGCTTGAACCCTCACCTGTACACTGTACACCTAGCACTCTGCTTGAGAGAAGTCTTAAGGTCTGGGAGGTGAACTGTTTGGGAGGCTTGATTAAGGGATTGTTCTGTGATGACAATCTCATCAAAACTGCCTCACTAACAGGACTATATGTCCTTTGCAACCACTTAACAGGATGAAGCTAAATTTATAAATTAAAAGTTCAAATTAAAATCAGACTTTAAGATTTTCAATTATTCATTTTTACATAATAATTAAATTACACTTTTAATTTGCAAATAAACATTTATTTTTAACATAAAATGCATTTGGGCTGAAAACCTTCCAGAATATGATTATGATTTAATGAGAATCGTTAGAGAGAGAATCAAAAGAATATAGTTACTTGCACATGATGCCATGGTCCCAGGCTGTATTTTTCCTTTCTACAAAGAAAAAACAAACACAATCAGACCTTTGCACTGAGGTACCATCTTAACTATATAGTACTGGAGAGTCCAACTCATAGGAGTTGCTGGTGTGGAGATGAGCACTAGACTTCCATGCAGTTTGCTGAATGACTCAATTAATCACAAAAAAGTGCGTACCTGTTACAACTCGACAAAATAGACAACATAAACGCATATATAACATAGAAAACACATCTAACACAGTGCCTAAGGCTTTTTACTGTATATATCGTGTGCCGCAACTAGGAGTATATGGCAATCTGCAAAGTGTACGAAGTAAATTATTTTCGCAGTAATTAATTTATTAACTATATTTATTACTGTATTTATTAAACACGTGAAAATAAATTTTCTCCTAGCTGTAGTGCTGAAGTCCCACCCTACATTGACAGAAAAATAAATAAAGGAGCACGCAATGCGTTTCTTGAAGAATGGTAATGCACGCCAGGCGGCCAGGAGATCTGGACACTGAAAATAATAGGTTTCTGGTTCTAACTGTTAGGACAATTAGACAGGGTTTGCAAATAGTGGACAAAAATCGTCTTAACTTCCATTATAATATTTTTTTTTTCTTGGAAATATTGAAGTTAAAATTTTAAAATTTATATTTGAATCAAAATGTGGTTTTGAGTTAGATAGTGTGTTAATGTAATTCGTTTGTGTTTGTCATTACTATACTATATTTTGCCATGTTACCAGAATTTGTAGCTGAAGTTTAAGACTAGTTATATTTTTTTATGATTATTGCCCATATGTTCACAATAGATGTATATTAGAATTTCATTCTAGACTTATTGTGGACCACATTTATATGTTTAAGGCATGCGTTTAATAGACGTATATTATACGTCTTTTGCCCACTAGGATGAGACATTAAAAATAGTACACAAGTAGAACATGCATGTTTCCTTTTCTAGAATCCCAGCATTTTTGTTGGGTTTCCCTTGTAAAACGTCTGCAGCTCTAATTGTCACTTACCTGGAGGGATGATCTTGTCGTGTTCAGAGTTGGGAATCCAGCTGTTGCCCTTGTGCCTCGTATTTATATCTTATCTGCAGCGGGAAGGAGAGCCCCTGTTTTGGCAATCTTTGAAGGAAAGACATCTGCATCTCACAGTCACTTAACTTGTTTTTCCAGAAAGTAGTTCGCCCAATTTGATTTTATGACACAATTTGAATTAAAGGCAAAGAATGGATGGGAAGCAAAAAGGATTGCATAACATGGAAAACAGCAGTGAGAGCTAGCTTCATACTTTGACAAAACATACATGTGGCCAGCCCCTGAGGAAATTAAAAGAACCCAGTCCCATCACACAGCCTCTTCTTGTGAAGCAAAGCATGAAGATGAGAATTTCTGTACATTCCTCCAACATCTGCTCAACGCATATTGTTTCTTTTGTGAAGAAACAAGTTATGTTTTAGATTTGTCTTTCAGTGGAGGAGTCCAGTCTCTGTAGACAACATATTATTAACAAAGGTAGGTTTGTGTTAGGCGTTAACCCACTGACCATGGGTTAAGTGTGTGTGAGTGCGTGCTTATGTCTGTCTGCCCTGGTTCCATGAGATACTTTCCCATCAAGTGCCAGGGCTCTGGGTTCAGTTCCTGGGGTGTTGTCTGTGTGAAGTCTTTATGTCAGGATGTCAGCTCCAGTTTTGTTAGACCTGGAGGATAGTTTGTACAGTTTTTATACCTGAATGACAGCTGGTCCAGTGGTTCAGGTCCAGTCTTTTTATACCTGAATGACAGCTGGTCCAGTGGTTCAGGTCCAGTCTTTTAGACCAGGAGGTCAGCTGGTCTGATGGGTCAGGTCCAATACAAGTTCTAGGGCACATCTGATTCAGGGGTCAAAATGCAAGAACTGTTATACCACAAGGCCATCTGGCCCAGTTTCTTGAAAGAGTGTGTGGAACACTCATGGAAAATATATACTGTATACTGATGGAAAAAAGAAATGCAGCACCTCCTCCTCCACACTCTGGCCCTCCCATCTCCGTGAAACAGGCTGAAGAGTAACTCACCCGTGAAGAGGACCTAATGCCTCTGCTGACGAGTCCATCACAGCCTCTGTCTGGCCCACTCCAGTCAGGTGTGACGTCTAGTAGGTGTGAGCAGAGGGCCTCTGACAGGTCACCTTGCTCTAAGCCCAGCAGCATGGAGTCTCATTGTCCAATCACTGATGCATTGTGCCTACAGGCAGTTTCAGCAGCAGTATGGGTGGCAGATCTGAAACGATCTCTCAGATGGGCCAGTCTGGTGTGTTGGTCCTGCTCTGGTGTGGTCACTTGACGGCGACCAGATCTTGGATGGTCATCTGTCCTGCCGGACTGCTGAAACCTCCTCTGCAGTCGGGACACAGTGGAGTGGCTTACTCCAGTGTCTGGCAATGCTGGCACATAACATGCCTGCCTGATGCTTGCCATTGGCCCTCTCCCTTGCTTCTGGTGACATTCTAGGCATTATGGAGTGCACAGAAAACTGACTAAGTGTGGCCTTTTTGTAGCAGTGACCTTAGGTTTGAATTAAGGCCTTTTTAAAGGTGACCTGATCAGGCATTGTTCCACCTGGACCTCATTGAGTAAAAGTGCACCTAACGAGCTTTTGTGTGATTGGCAAGTTGCAATGCCTCACTGCACAAGCTGTATTGCTGGTCAGAGGGCTTAAAACAAATTGACTACTCTTTGTGAAAGTACATAAGCTATAACTAAAGTATTCTCATTCCAGAAAATGTTGTGCTTTTTTTCCATCGGTATACTAGTATATATATATATGAATATCGATTACACAAAATATACAATAATGCTAATATTGTCAATCATTTCCATCATAAGAAGGTTTAAGTATGTGTGCTTGTATTGGGTGTTAAAACTAGACTTAGGAGTTGATAATGAACAGTTTCTCTCATCGCTCTGTTTCCTATGTTATCAGATGATCCGTGAAGCATGGTGACACATCAGCAGGACTAACATGACATACAGATGCAGCCATTCAAAGTGCGCGGTACAGACACGTACCGCAGGTAATTGGCTGCAGTATCGCGTATCATGACGCGGTGCGTGATTGGTTGACCGACAGGGGCACTCGTGGTCCGTTGGTCTGTCGTAGAAAGACTTATTGTAAACGTCTTTACTGTGCCCGTTGTAGATATTGAATTTTAC